TTATGTGTAAGCTTTTGTGTGAATGTATTTTCATTTCTCTTGGGTATATGTCTAGGAGTGGAATTCCTGGTGATGTGGTAGTTCTATATTTAACTTGTGGAAGAAGAGTCAAACTGTTTTTCAAAGTGGCCATACTCTTACATTCTCACCAGCAGTGTATGAGGATTCCAGTTTCTCCACATCCTCATCACAGTTACTGCCTTTTTTTTGTTTTAGCCATCCCAATGGATATGAAGTGGCATCTCCTTGTGGCTTCCTAATGATGCCATTAGTATCTTCCATTAACAATGGTATTGAGCATTTTTCTTAGGCTTACTTGCCATTTGTATATCTTCAGAGAAATACCCTTTTAAATCCTTTGCCCATTTCTTAAATTGTTACTTATCTTTTTATTGAGTTGTAAGAATTATTTATATATTCTGGACACAAATCCCTTACCAGAGATATGATTTGTAGACATTTACTCTCATTCTTTTTGTTTTTTTGGAGACAAGGTCTCACTGTGTAGTTCAGGCTGGCCTTGAACTCTCAGCAGTCCTGCCCCAGCTTCCTGAGTGCTGGGATTACAGGCGTGTGCCACCATGACCAGCTCTTTTCTCCCATTCTGTGAGTTGTCTTTTCACTGTCGTACAGTGCCTTTTATGGCACAATTTATTTTTTCAATTTTAATTTTATGAAGTTCTGTTCTTTGTTACTGTTTGTGCTTTTGGTCTGAGGAATTTCAAACCCAGGAGTTGCAGAATCACCTTTACAATTGAGAAAGATTACTTTGGCCACAGTTAGGTGAAAAAGAATGAAGGACTGAAGAGGAAGGAGGACAAGGGTTAGAAAGACATTAAGATATTAAGCAGTTAGGAGTTAGGCTCCATTGCTTTGGTAGCTGATTTGATGTTGGGGTTTGTGGTAAAGAGACGTTTTAGTCCACCCACAGATCCTCAGTTTTTGTGGTTGCATATGTGATTATGCTGTTCCCTGAGAGGGAACACAGGACCTAGAACAGTTTGAGAAGTGTTGGAGCCAGGAAGAATGTTCAGACCTCATCAAAGCTGTTTTTGGCACCTGCCTGGCAAAATCCTTGAGGCCCCTCAGCTTCTAGGTCAAAAGTACTTCTCAGGCCAGGAAAAACTTCAGTTCTTGTGCATACAGCTTCTCTTTGCCTCTCCATTCCTTTTAGGAGCAGTAAATATGTCCAGCCAGGAGGTTCTCCCTGTAATTTTTTGACTTTTCTGAGGTTTGCAAAGAATCTCAACTGTTTTGGAGGAGGAAGCACTGTTGGAATGTGTGTGTCTATGTGTGGGGGGATCCTTAATGTCTTTCACCATTCTCTGCCCTGAGAGATGATTTAATATTTACTTTAATATTCAAGATAATTTTATTGAATGGACAATATAATCACCAAATTCAGACAGAAGCCAAGTAAAATGACATACGTGGGCTAAGAATGCAGCTTAGTTGTAGAGTGCTTGCCTAGCATGTGCAAGACCCTGGGTTCAATTTCCAGCACTGCAAAAAATAAAGCAAAACAAAAGCAAATGAAAGCATTGTTACACAAGAAGCGGTGATGGAGAGTTTACTTCACAAGTCAGGTATCTTCCTGTTGGCAGCATCACAGCCCTGCCTCTGCTGGTCTCTAGCACAAGTATCTATATGACTGTAATGTTTTTGGAATTTACCCAGAATTTATTATAATGACCTCGCTGTGTCTGGCCATATCTGTTGTTTTTTGTTTTTTGTTTTTTCTAGTACCAAGGATTGAACCCGGGACCTTTGCACTGAGCTACATCCCCATCTCCTTTTTATTTCTTTGTTCTTTGAGACAGGGTCTTGCTTTGTAGTGCAGGCTGGCCTTGAACTCATTATGTAGCCTAGGCTGGCCTCAAACTCACAGTGATCCTCCTGCCTCTGCCTCCCGAGTGCTGGAATTACAGATGTGTACCAGCATGCCCATCTTTTATTTTGTATTTTGGACAAGTTCTCACTAAATTGCTAAGTTGCCTAGGGTGGGCTCAAATCTGTGATCCTTTTGCCTCAGCCTTCTATAGTCCAGGGATCCCAGGTATGTGTCACCACACCTGACTTGAAGCTAGTTTGGGTCGAGTGAGACTTTGTTCTTAGCTGACCTCTAACTTGATTTCTTTTGTACCCTTGTTCATTATACTCAACTGAGAAAGCTATGTGAGTGTAGAGATCTTTATTCGCTGTAGTCAAATTATCTCCTAATAAAGCCACCATCTCCAGTATTTACACCCTTGAGAGGAGAATCTAGATGTGTGTGGCACCAGTGTTCTCTAATACCTGCATTGGTGGAGTACAAGCAGAGACTCCTCAGGACTGACACACACCCTCCTTCCCCCAGCTGACGGGGAGTAGTAGTCACTGACTACCCAGTTGGGGTCCCCCTGCAGGCCTTAACTCTACTGAAGAGAGCTGCCTTCCCCAGGATGGCCACATCTCATGGCTCATCTGTTGGAAGAATAAAGGTCAGGCCTTGCTTCCACCTGGGGCAAAACTAAAGGGCATCCTAGGTGTTGAGCTGCCAAGGGGTAAGCCCAGGTCTTTGTGTGATAACATTTCTTATGGCTTCTCCTGCAGGATACTGCTTCCTTGGCTGTTCCACAGGGCGGCTCCTGAGAGCACTTCTCAATCAACTTCCTGGATCCACATCTCTATCTCCATCACAGTATCTTTTCCACAGGTTCAGAATCTGACATGCCAAGGTGAAGGTAGTGACACTAGCTGAGTAAGAATCTAGCCCCATCTGATCAGAGTGTGGTCCTAGAATCCCTGCCCTGAGGGCTGTAGAGCTGCCTCTGCTGCCATCTGCCTTTGATGATCGTTAGCACATCAGGAGTGGCTTTCTCTGTCCTCTCTCCAGGAAATCCTAGAGTTCCTGGAAAGTTCCTTTGAGTCTATTTGTAATGCAGTCCCATCAGCCCCTTTTGGAAGAAGTTAATTTTCAAAGCTGAAAAATGCTTAGAATACATGAAAATGATTTTTCTCTGCAAAAAAAACATCAAAATCACATTGCTGGGTGTTTAATAGTATAATTTGTAATCATGAGTTTTCATTACTGGCCAGCAGAAAGGCCAGTGACACAAAAAGGCAGCCTCGAACTATTAACAGTACACTTACCCTGGCAGTCTTGACTCAGGTCTGCACTCCTAACCATTTTAATGTATTTCAGCAGCTTTCAACCCTTTTTGACCACAACCTGCAGTGATGTATTTTGTTACAGTCCTGAGCCACATACTTCTATAATTTAAGCACAAGTTTCACAGAGAAATGCTGACCCTTAATGCAGGCTGTGTACCCTGGCTATGTTGGTTCTCATGTTGGTTCCCATGTTGGTTCCCTTACTGGTTTCTCTATTCTTATTAATTCCCTCCTTCCATTCCAGCTTTCCAAGTGAAAAATACTGCAGTACTGTCTTCCAATGTTTGTTCATTCATTCATCAAATACTCGTTAAGTGCCTCCTCTGTGTCACATCATGCAGGCTCAGGGGATCCAGTGGTGAATAAAGCAGACAAGGTCCCTGTCCCCATAGAGTTCACAGCTAGAAAGCTTTGCATATGAAGTGCAATTGGAAAAAATTTGATTGCATATGAAGTAAAAGAGAGATTTTTTTAAAGCTCAGAAAGAAATCTTTTAGCTAACAAGATTATATTATTTGATAAACATACAGCTATTTAGTAACCTTAATTAAAAGACTAGAAAAGGAGCAGTGATGCTGATTGCAGTGTTGACACTAATGGAATAATTAGTACATTCAGACAGTGAAATACTAATATGCAGCAATGAAAACAGTGACCTAGTGTAACTCATGTCAGTATGGATACATATCAAGAACAGATGGGCCGGGGATTTAGCTCAGTGGTTTTGCCGCCTGCTGTGCAAGCGCAAGGACCCAAGTTCGATCCCCGGTACCAAAAAAAAAAAAAAGAAAACAGTTAAAAAGTTACAAGAGGGCCAGTGATTTAGCGCAGTGGTTCCAGCACCTGCCTCGCAAGTGCAAGCGGAAGGTCCTGAGTTCGATCCCTGGTACCAAAAGAAAAAAAAAAGTTACAAGAGCACAGTAAACATTGTCTATTACAGAACAAAAACATATTAATCTTCTGCTGCAATATAATATAGTGTGCTGCAAACCATAATATATGATTTGTGCAAAAGTTTAAAAATATCCAGGACAATTCTATGCATTATCATAGGCATATACACGTATAGTAAAAGTGGAAAACCTTTCAGGGAATGACCATACACCAATTTTAGGATGGTGCTTATTACTCTCTGAGATAGGAAAAGTTCAGGCATTAACAAATCTTATTGAAGTAGAAATATTTAGCAAACGTGGAAAATTTAATTTTTTTTTAAGTCTGGCTGAATGGTTATCTCATTATTTTGAGTGTTTTTCTGTTAATTATTAAAATATGTAAAATTGACAATTGAATGGGCGAAACAACTGTTCTGTGCTACGTCTGTGTTTCTGGTGCATGCACATTTCTATGTTCTTTGATCTCCATCACACTTGTGTTTTATTCATCCAAAGAAACACTGCAGCCTTGAGTATCTTGAGGCTGAGATTCAGCAGTTTACTGATGAGTCAGTTTTCAGGAGTGTTGTTCGTGTCTCACAAGCAGAGGGCGCTTACTCCACAGGGGATGCACTACTGGCACCCACAGCAGGCAGTCCTCCTGTCAGTGTAGCCCCAGGGCCTCCCGTGGAAGCACTTTTCTCTCCAGAATGGGAAAGAAGGGCATTTAAGTACAGGCAGCTTTCTTTCTGCTTATATAAGGGGCACAAAAGCAGCCATTTAGACACGAATGTCATGTTTCTCTGAACACCTTTAGGCTGGGCTGTTTCTCACGCCATAGGACTTCTCAAGAATGTAAGGACTAGCACATGCCTGGAGCATCCTTTGCCTTTGCATCAAGGACCCTGGATACTGATTTGTGGGGAACTTTTTCATTTTTAAACTAACTGTGGAACATTTCTTTTCTTCCAGATGGAAAAAGATTATTCTTACCTGAAGGAGATATGTGATCATCAAGCAGAACAGCTGAGCAGAACCAGCCTAAAACTACAAGAGAAAGCATCAGAGAGTGATGCAGAGATTAAAGACATGAAAGAAACCATATTTGAATTGGAAGATCAGGTGGAACAGCACCGGGCTGTCAAGTTACACAACAATCAGCTCATTAGTGAGCTAGAGAGTAAGTGAAGGCATGCCTGCATGAAACATATGACAGGTGTGACTAGGAGCTAAAGGAACCAGTGGCAGTGGGCAGTGGAACAGCCAAAGGGTTGTTCCAAGGATATGTATTGGTTGGGGTTTAGAAGAGCTTTTCTTTTGAGTGTGGTATAATCTCCCAGGAAGAATGGCTGTTAAGAAACAATTGTTACTCTCTTAAATTACTCTGGAAAACTGGATGATAGAAAAGGAAAGTTGATGACTATGAGTCAGCAGCATGGGGTAACTGTGAAAAAGAACAGGTATATTCCGGATGTATTAGATATGTCTCATGTGACAGCCACACTGCTGCCCCTGTCTCTAAACAACTGGATCCACTTGAAGTTCAGTTGTGACTGTATGAGAGTTCATAGGACTTTCCCTTAAGAATAGTATAGGGTGTGAGCAGGTTATTCAGAACAAATTGTTTACTGCAGTCGTCAAGTTTGGATGTGTTGTCTTTTGAGTCTGATGATGGGTAGATGTTTAGAATGAACAATGTGTCCCCTTGATCTAAAGGGAGAAAAACATTTTTAGCACATGTCCCATTGATGGTGGGATATCAGGTAACTTACAGATGTTGGCCACTTCGTTACTGAAAAAGGATCAATATGACTTATTTGTGAATTTAGTTTGCTTTGAAAAGAGAAAGACATTAAACATTGCCTCTTTTGTTCAAATAAGCCTTATCAAATGATCACATCTAATGTATTTTGCTTCCATAACAAAAGAACTAATACATAAAGCTTTTAACAGTACTAGCTATTACTAAAAATAGTTGTTACCTGAGAAGTTCCCTAACATATACAGTCAATACTCATTATTCATAGATTCTGTATTCACTTACTAAAATTTATTTATATCTCCTAACCAGTACTACAGCAGTTTCATGGTTATTTTTGGACATGCAGAAAGGTAAAAAGTTAGAGTCATCCAGCGCTTATATTCTCACCTGGGATCAAACTGAGAGACTTCTGCCTTCTTGTCTCAGTTGTGATACTGTATACAAGTGTCCTTTTCACAGTCCACTTACTACTGTGTTTTCAGTGCTTTTCTGCTACCTTTGGTGATTGTGCTGTTGGAAATGGTATTCCATAAGTGGAATACTAAAGTGCTATCTACTGTTCCCAAGTACAAGAAAGGAGTAATATATTTTAGCATAGTATATTATGTATAATGTTAGATAAGCTTAGTTCAGACCTGTGCTGTTGGGCATGAGCTCAGTGTTACTGAGTCAGCAACACAATACATTCAGAGAAAGGAAAAGGAAATTCTCCAATTTGAGCATAAGCCTGCTAAAGTAGTATCTATAATAAATGATAAAGCTATGGAAAAGATGAGAAAGGGAGTAAATTTGTGAATTCAGGGGATGAAAGCCAATAAGCTGTAGTAGACAGCACTGTTGCAATGCCAAAACCAAAGAAATTTCACTTTGCCCAGGGTCAGGAAAATGTTCAACCTCATTACATGCCTATAAGACTTGCGAAAAGTTAAAAATATGGGCAAAAAATTCTGAAGATCAGGAGGATGTAGTTTTGTTTTTGTTTGTTTGTTTTGAGATGGGGTCTCACTAGGCAGTCCAGGCTGGCCTTAAACTTGCCGAGATCCTCCTACCTCAGCCTCCTGAGTTCTGGGATTACTGTAGTGTGCCACTATCCTGGCAAGAATTTTTAAAATACTTGCTCAGTGTTAACAAAGAAAAGGGAAGAGGTTTCTCATATTGATGATACTGGCTTATTTTATCACAACATTGGCAAATGAATGTGTAAAACACAAACGGCATGTCAATTAATGAAAAATGTTCTGACACCCAGAAGCTCACAGGAACCTAACATTATATTTCCCCTAGGAGCAATAGTTCAGTATTCCTTAATTATAAGAAGTTATAAAGCTGGGCCAGGGATTTAGCTCAGTGGTTCCGCCGCCTGCCCTGAAAGTGCAAGGTCCTGAGTTCGATCCCCGATACCAAAAAAAGAATTTATAAAGCTACCATGAATAATGAGAATGGACTGTGTGTTCTGTACTTAATTTGGTCAGGTCAGTGCTGGTGCCTGTTCCATTGTTCATTAAGTGCAATGTGTACAACTGTAGAGCATCAGTACTCACTGTCACCCAGGCTTAAGTCGCACTTGTTGATATAATTAAAAACCTAGACATCTTTGTCAGCGTGTAATTCTGAACACAGCACCAGCTTTGAAAATAATAAAGTCTTTTGTTTTGTTTTTGTTTTTGTGAGATATTGATATTGAGAATATGATTGTGTTATCCTTAAATCCTTAAAAGTCAGCCCAGACACACCAAGCAAACCAGTGTATAATTAATGTCCAAAACAAATTTCAGGCCCACTCTCCAGTGATTATATCATAATATATCAGAGACTGAAAATAACGAAGACCGTTTTTTGAGAAGCTTTTAAACTTCTGCAAGGGATATTAAGGTATATTTGTTAGTGGGACGGGGATTTAGCTCAGTGGTTCTGCCACCTGCCTGGCAAGCGCAAGATCCCAAGTTCGATCCCCAGTACCAAAAAAAAAAAAAAAAGATATATTTGTTAAGGAGAATCAGAAGACACTCACATCCAGCTCTAGACTAATCACTCCTTCCTAAAAGATCCTCAAAAGAAGCAGAACAATACAAAGAAGTGAAGGAGGGTTTTCTTATTCTGTGGCATTTGACTCCAAACACAAACTCTCAGGGCCCAGGCCCTGATCTAGAACTGCTGGGGTAAGACCTGACTTGTGGATTTTTAAAAACCTGGTGATTCTGACTCACATACTTAAAAGACAACTACTACTCTAGGTTAGAGAAACCATTTAGAAATTTTTACTAGGTGACTGATATGATGAGATTTAAATTTAAAAGTCTCTGATAGTGATATGGAGAGAATTGGAAACAGGGTGAAGTAGGGATAGGACTTGTTTTTCATTAGGGAGTACAGTTGAGCCACCTGTGGAGCTATTAAAATATATTCCGTCTGCCCTTGCAGACTATGAACCCATAGATCCTGAGCTGCAACTTGCACTTCTGAGCTTTTGAAAAACACCATACATACTTTTGAGGTTTAACTGAGGTTAAGAATCGTGCCCTAGACATGGGTTTCAAAATCATAGAAATAATGACCAGTCATATTCTCTATTATTCAAAAGCCTTCTGCCTTCCTCAGTGAAGGCCATTCAGGATAGTGGTGTGTGAAGAGCACCAGGGAAGCTCAGCTCAAATGTATGAGTGGCTGCTGAGGTCTCTTCCCATAGTGCTATGTGATCATACACCTCGATTTCTAACGATATATCCTGAATAAGCACACTTATTTCCCATGTCATCCCATTCCCTGTCTTAGAAGAACCACTTGCTTCCAGCTTCCTGCTTGCAGGACACTAAAAAGTGAAATTTTAGTAGAAGGTGTGGATTTGCAAGCCTTTTGTGTCCTCTGGCGCTGCCCCTTTGCTACTCAGCTTACCTTCTTCCACTTTTCCAACTCCTGTCTGAATTGTTTACTTCTAGGCAGTGTGATCAAGCTGGAAGAGCAGAAGTCAGACCTGGAACGGCAGCTAAAGACCCTGACAAAACAGATAAAGGTGTGTGGGGTGCAGCTATGGGCAGGTCTCCTCTATCGTCTCACTGTACATATTTCCATCTTAGCTCTGGAAAAATGGGAATAACACCAATTGCTCTCCAGCCTGCTTTCTCTTGGAGTATTTCCATGATGTGACCTCCAATCATATATTCTTATTGTCAGGAAGTAAAAGTAAAGCAGTTGTTCAGTTTTAGAATGGAAAATGCTCATAGGATAGTGGAATTTCCACTTGTGCCTCTTCCTAGTAGCAAGACACCATTTAAAGTAGGGCCTCACTGCTGGCCATTCTTTCTCAGAGATTGATAAGGGAATTCTACAGTGTCTGTATAGATGAGGCCCCAGCAGGCATCTGACACAGGTATGGACTCTGGCGTTTTCAGGAGGAGACTGAGGAATGGAGGCGGTTCCAGGCAGACCTACAGACTGCAGTGGTGGTGGCCAATGACATCAAATGTGAAGCCCAGCAGGAGCTACGCACTGTGAAGAGGAGGCTGTTGGAAGAGGAGGAGAAGAATGCCAGGCTACAGAAGGAGCTAGGGGACATGCAGGGCCACAGCAGGTGGGTCACGGGTGGAGCCATGAGTCTAAAGGGCACCTGGACAGTGCTTGGCTTCTTACTTAATCACTGTGCATGAGGAGGGCTGGGTCACTTTTCTGTCTCTCTATGTCAGTTTCTATTATTTCTTTTCTAGAATTAATCTAATTCCATGACCACTACTACACAACTCAGAACATTCCATTCAGGGCTCAGTCACTGCCATTCTGTACCATAAGATGTTGAAAAAAAGTCTTTACTTGAATGTATAGAAAAAGTTCTAGCCAAATATCCTTTTAGCTTTAAAGAATATAAGTAATATCTAGGATACCCATTAAATTATAATACTTGTGTAGAGAGATACACGCTGAAAGGCTAACTTGCTTAGTTCTCATGCAGTGGGAAGAGCTAGACTCAAGGGGAACTGCCACCAGATAAAAGGCTCATTCCTTACTGACAATTCCCATGAGCTATTTCAAAAAGGTCTTGACATGACCTACTTTATTAAAAAGGATGAGTGGGCCAGGGATTTAGCTCAGTGGTTCCACCGCCTGCCTTGCGAGGGCAAGGTCCCGAGTTCGATCTCCAGTACTGAAAAAAAAGGATGAGTGTAGAAAACAGACATCTAACTGATGTCTGCCTTTCCCTTCAGTTGTTAGAATGGGGGTCACACAGACCAAAGGCTTTACTGATCAACCAGGAATTGCTAACAGGAAGGTATTACTAAGGCGAGCTCAAAGTGAATTATTTAAAATTGAAGTAGAAAAAAAAAACCAAAAAAAAAAACAGGCCGGAGATTTAGCTCAGTGGTTCCGCCACCTGCCTCACAAGCACAAGGACCCAAGTTCGATCCCTGGTACCAAAAAAAAGAAAAAAGAAAATTTAAGTAGAGTTTACAGAGACTATAAGCAGTATTTTAAGCTTTCACTAGTACAATATTATCTTTCCTTAGACAAGAATTGATATCTTTAACTTTGAAATTTTGGGATGTTAGAAAACTTTTTTGAATTTTTAAATGACTTTCAAATATGAAATACAGCCTTTTAAAATCAGATTTAGCAAGTCTTGCATGTTAGTCTGTACAGTTTACCCTAATCTTTATGTGTTTTCCAGGATCAGAAGGGTTGTTCATTGGCTTGGTACTGAGCCTTGGGATCTGGTGTTCTATGATCATGATTTCATGATATTGAGAATAGATTTCTTCTCAAAATTCTGTTTTGATTTTCCCACCAAACCTATGCCAATTAATTCCATGTCCCTTTATGACTTTTATATAAAATGGACTCTAGAGAAGGATTACTGTAGCCAGTTCCACAATTCATTCTTTAAAAATCAGGATCATTAACTTACAGTCACACTTTCAGACTCTTTTCAGGCCACCAAAGGAAGTAAATTTTAAATGAAGGCAGGAGAATTGGAAAACAGGGTATCATAGTACTTATATTGAGATGATTGTGAGGTCATTCTAGTTTGCTTTTGTCTGCTTTTGTCACTTGTCTTGCTTCTACATTGTGTGTCTTTGGAAAAGGAACAAGTCATAAGTTGCACTGCATCCTATGTAGTTATTTTGAAGACAATAAAGATAAGTTTTTGTGGTGGCCCTAAATAGGCTATTGTATGAGATGTTGCATTACTTACATAGGTTCTTAGATGCAGATTTGAGCTCTAATATAATAACAGATTTCAACGTGGGTCCTGATAGTTTGAGGGCTTTGTATACTACATTCTACACCTTCCAATTTAGGAGAAATTTCATTAAAAATCAACAACAGCACAAAATGTTTCTCTTTTAATTTTCTAGGGATTTTTTTAAACCTACCTCCCAAATCTAGCAGTTTAATTCTGTGTCACAAAATCTTTCAAAACTTTAGAATTGACACAAATCAGAACATGGCATATTTCTGAAAACCATTAGATATCAAAATGTCTGTTGTCAAATTTGGCAGGACATCAGACAATTGCTGGTAATGGTTTCTTGTCTGATCTTGAACTTCTCTGGCAAGTTACACTTTCTAAAGAATTGACTATTTGAAAATTACTGATGGCCTAGCTGCCTCCTGATCCTACCACATGAGCAAGAGTGGAAACCAACTCCCACCCTCAAAAAGTTCCTGCAGCAACCTAGTGTTTCCATCTTGGCTGAACGAGTTCTTGACTGACACTTGATTTGACCCTTGATGGTCATCTCATAACTCAAAAGTCGTTCTTGGTTCAGCCACAGCCAAAGAACTTGCAGAACCTTCTCTGATGAGGTCTTCCAAGCACAACTGAGAGAAGGTAAGAGCATCTGGAAAGCACCTTCACATTGCCATGGGGTTAACTGGTTGATATTCTCATTTTGCATAGATGGGGTTTTGAGGGAATTATTAGAGTCAGGCTGATAGATGAGCGAATGAAGAGCCTGGGTAGGAGAATACATTCACATTTGTTACTGAGAAGTTAATAACTAGAACAAAGTGAGATATTATCTAACTCATTAATGGTCTGCAGCCCTATTATATTTTCAAGGATTTAAAAGTTTTATTTATTTTGGGATGGAGTCTCACTATGTTGCCCAGACTGGTCATAAACTCAGCTGATTCTCCTTCCTCAACAACCCAAGTAGCTGGACTGCAGGCATGCACCACCATGCTTGGCTGATATTTTTATTTTAGATTCAGAATAATTGATGTTAATATAAGTAGAGAAATAAAACTGTAGACTCATTGTTTCGTCCATTCTGTAATGTCCCCATCCCAGGCCTGGCTCCATCCTCTGTTAAATGAAGTGCAATGAGTAGATAGTATTTCAAGGTCCCTTTAAGTCATACTCTCTGAGACTAGTTGGTCACCTGTCCATTCTCTAGTGGGAGAGTCAGAAATCCAGCCCTGCCATCTATTTGGAGCAATCTTTTGAGCTTCAAAGATGAACATAATAACATCTTTGAATTTTACCTGTGGCTTATTGGCCTGCTCTTTCCCAGAAGTTTGAACAACTAGTGTGTGTGTATATGTGTGTGTGTGCGTGTGTGTGTGCATGTTTACGGGCCTGGATGTATAAATTAATGGACAAAAGGATAATGAATAATTTCTCAATCCTGGCTTTTCCCCATTTTGAATAATTAAGAGGAAAGTGTTGAAATGCAAACCATTCATTGAAATTGAAACATTTCTGGGGCTGGGATTGTAGCTCAGTGGTAGAGCACTTGCCTAGCATTTGCAAGACCCTGGCCTCAGTCCCCAGCACTAGGAAAAAAAAAAATGAATGGATGAATAAATTAATGAAGAAAAGAAAAGAAAGAGCTATTAGATCTTTTTTCTGAAAAGTTGAGCCCTGGGCCCTAGGTGGTACAGAGAGCACACAGGCAGCTCACTAGCTAAGTGTGGTGACTCCAAAACATTGATGAGCAGTACATGACACAGACTTCGCAAACATTGGCAGGGAATGATCTGTGCATTTTTTTCCTTGTCCTGAAGCATTAAATGCCTTGTTTTTAGGTTGATTTGCTGTGTCTATCATGTTACACCAACGAACATCCATGGAAGACATCTTAAAAAAGGAAGGTCATTGAAAACAATGTACATGTGTTCCTAATCAACAGCATTAGCATCCAAGATAGAATATCTCAGGTTTACATATGTTTAGCCTGTACCACACACCAATTTTGTATTGTTCCCACTCAAATGAGGAACATGGTGCCCTGTCACACACAGATTCTGCAGGAGCTGGCTTTTAACTCACACATGCACATCCACATCATGCGGTAATGTCCCTCATGTGTGCCTGTGCTCCCTCTGTGTAGTTCTTAGAATGCTAGTGTTTCACAGCCGCTCAGCAAGTGTTCCATAGCTGCTGCTGTAAGGGAAGTGTGTAAGTTGCAGGTATATATTCTTGGGTCACTAAGATGTCTTTCCCAACTCCCTGTGATGCCAAATCCCTGACCCTGATGGATGGATGGGCCAGTTCCCATAGGGATTCCTAAGCAGTTTCAAACAGACCTTCCCTTAGCACTTAACCATCAGGGCCTCTGGCATTTCATTTGACCTTTACTGTGGAAATCCTTTTAAGCACACATAATCAGTTCATTCACATACTATTTTTTATAGTTTAAATTTACAGCTATGACATTAAATATATAGTTTATAATTCTACTTTTTTTGCCCAATACTGGGGATGGAACCCAGGGCCTTATACATGTTGGGTAAGTGCTCTATCATTTCTACCACTAAGCTGCATCCCTGGCCCTAGTCTATAATTCTGAAGGGCTGTCTTATTTTTTTGTTGTGTTGTGTTTTGTTTTGCAGTATTGGGATTAAATCCAGGGCCTTGCACATACTAGGCATGCTTTATACCACCAAGGCACATCCTCCACCCCATTATTGGATTTTTACTCTTAGGGTTTTTGTGGAGTAGAGAGTTTGTCGTGGATAGTACAGGGAAACACAAACCTCTCTATAAATGACAGGGAGCCTATGTTCATCCTGGTTATCTGTCCTTTACCAATACAGTTATTTGTTGGAAAAGTTCTGGTAAAAGGAGCCTAGTAATGGCATTTTGAAGTCTTTCACATTTTCTGTCTGGAAACCTTTGACTTACAAAAATTTGCAATAGTAGGAATGAAGACCAGTTAGCTTTTCCTTGTGGGACAGTACAAGTTATTAATTCTTGTATTGTAATCAAAAATTGTGTTGCCTTGCATAACTCCTTTACCAGCCTTCCCTCCCATTTCTATCTTCACAGCTCCGTGGTCTCTGTCAGCTAGCAGAGCTTTTGGTGGAAGAAATACAGCCCAGCCCTTGCCATGATTGGAAACTACAGCCATTTCTATATGAAAGGGGGAATCTGTAGAGGAGAAATTACCATTTTATATAAAAGAGCCCAGTTGTCTCCTATACCATTCACTGTTCCAAACAGTGCACATTGCAATCAAGCCTCTTTACTTTTTTCTACATTTTCAGAATCAACTCATGCATGATCAAAGATAAATCTTCCCTCTTTTTTTTTTTTTTTCCTCTCCTTAAGAAGATTCAGCAGTCTCTGCTTTT